CTTTTATACGTTCTGCCTTGGCTCCAAAAACCATTACCTCAGTTTTATCTTTGTTTAATTGGAGAAAGTTCTGACACATCCAGTCATTGATTTGTTCAATGCACTTACTCAGTGTTTGAATTGGAGCATAGTCTCCTGGTGAAATTGTTACGTAAATTTGTGTGTCATCTGCATAGCTATGGTAACTTATTTTGTTGTTCTTCATTATCTGAGCCAGTGGTAGCATGTAGATGTTAAAGAGAAGAGGCCCCAAGATGGAGCCTTGAGGAACCCCACATGTCATATTTGTCAACTCAGATGTGTATTTACCTATAGAAACAAAGTTGTTTCTGTCCTTTAAGTAGGATTCAAACCAATTCAGAACTGTTTCCGAAAGTCCCACCCAGTTCTCCAGTCGGTCTAGTAATATGCTGTGGTCAACAGTGTCAAACGCAGCACTGAGATCTAATAATACTAACACTGAAGTTCTGCCACTGTCTGTGTTTAAGTGGATGTCATTAAAGACCTTTACAAGAGCAGTCTCAGTGCTGTGGTTTGGACGAAAGCCTGACTGGAACACATCAAAACAGTCATTTAAATGCAAGAAATTACTCAACTGTTGAAAAACAACTTTTTCAATGATTTTACCTAGAAATGGGAGGTTTGATATGGGCCTGTAATTGTTCATTACTGAAGCATCTAGATTATTCTTTTTTAAGAGCGGTTTTAATGACTGCAGTTTTCAGGGCCTGTGGAAAAATACCTGAGTGAAGAGATTTGTTTACTATATGAAGTAGATCTGAGGCCATGCAAGGCAAAACATCTTTGAAAAATCCTGTTGGAATAATATCAAGGCAGCAGGAGGAGGATTTCAGAAGTTGAATAATGTCCTCTAGGTTTTTATCATTAATCTGATGGAATTGTGTCATGATGTCTGAATTTAAGACCTTTCTTATTTTTTTGGTCATATTTAAGACCTTTTTAAGGCCTTAAATTCAGATTATCAAATGTAAGACTTTTTAAGACCCCGCAGGAACCCTGTGTATGGCCTTTGGGATGAAACTGTCCCTGAGTCTGGTGGTTTTAGTCCGGATGCTGCGGTACCGCCTGCCAGACGGCAGCAGACTGTTGTGTCTCGTAAAATCTGTTAAAGGTCCCATTTCATGCTTTTCTGGTTATTACCCGTCCCCTTGTGTGTTATGAAGGTTTTTCTGCATGTAAACGGTCTGCAGAGCAGGGGCGGATCTACCGGGGTGGCATGGGGTGGCAACTGCCACCCTAAACAATAGCCTTGCCACCCCAGTTGGCATCTTTGTTTTGAAAGAAAAGTTGTTGCTCATCGGACATTTATGAGAGAAAGTCTCTAATGTCCGAGTGCAAGTGAATGCAGCACAAGATGCACGTCATGTAACCCCTCCCCCGGTCCTGGCGCGAGAGTGGAAATATGATTGGTGGCGAATTCACTTGAACGGGGGGACGGCGCAAAACGAGAAGCCTTTCGGAACCAAGCACTGAAGGAATGAGGTAGTTGCGGTCTACAATGACAGAGAAGAGACTGTCAGTGTGGCTGTACTCAGCATTGAATCAAAACGCACTACAGCTGTTGATCTTAATACGTTTGTGAGGCGTTTTGCTGAACAAAATAGTAATCGCCGCATTCAGCTGTAATAGACATGCCAACTTGATGCTCTGCTCACGGATGACTCGATGAGAATAACAAACTGTTAAGATGATGACCTTGTATGCGTGTGTATATTTTTTTTCTTTGAGGGGGTCTGCCCCCAAAAAACAGTTTTAAGTCCTGAAAAAGTAAAATAAGACGGTGTGTAAAACTACACTGCCCAGCCAACAGAAAGTAACCACTTTGATTTAACTAGGCCAGTAGGTAAGGACCTTCCACTGGATAATAACTGCAGCGATGTTTTAGCTGAATACACGTTTAACCCTAACTGATGCAGTTAGTCACTTCTTTAATGTTTGTTCTTTCTGATGTAAAGTCAAGGTTGTAACTGTATATCAATAATGATATAATTACTTGTTTTTCAAATTTGAAGGAGGGTGAGCAAGCATCTTGATGAACATTCATCATTAACTCCTCCAAAAAATAAATATAGTTTATTCAATGATAAATGAATATGTGAATCATAACAGTTCTTCACTATATCTGTAAAGCGTCTTTGAGCACCTGTAAAAACGCTAACAAATTAAATCTATTATTATTATTATTTATTAACAGTGATTGACAGCTGATAGGAATAATATGATTGTTAATAGTATCATATTCATTCAGACAAACATCGATGAGACAGTTAATTCATGTACTTATTGCAGCAGTCTGGATAGATTTGACCCTGCTGGTCTAAGAGTGAGACAAACTCATTCAGTTATTGTTGAGTTAAAATTCATTAAATTACGTCTGCCACTTTGTAAGGCTTTACTGATGTGCCACAATAATATCACCTATGTGATTGAGTTAAAATATTCATATTGTGGCTTTCCAAGTTAACATTGATTGTTGGGGTGTAACGGTTCACAAACATTTCGGTTCGGTACGTACCTCGTTTTTAGGTCACGGTTCGGTTCGGTACGTTTTCGGTACAGCAGAAACAATTATCACAAAACATTAAAAACATTGTTTTTATTATTATTAAACTGTGACTAATGTATTCAAATAAATACAAAATATAGTAAAATAAACATTAAGGTGCAGCATTTCGATGAACTGAAATAATCTGTATTTGAACTGTGCTAGCACCTAAGCAGCCAGCTTGACATTATGACTTGCTTGTCATTGTATTTTCATGTTGTTTAAAGAAAGATGAACTTGTCCACATTGCTTGCTGAAAGGGCAGATCTGCTGGCACTAACAATGTCTCCTGCTGTGGAGAACACCCTCTCTAGGGACAGAGGTAGCAGCCAGGTAGCGCTTTGCTAACATGGCAGCATAAGGATATTTGGTGTTTGTAATAGCTTTGACTCGGTCTGAACTCTTTGCGAGTGGTGGAGGCTTAGTGGGAGTTGGGTTTGCACTTCAGCCTTTTTTCTTTTGGTACCGGTGATATTCACATTCGGGTGATTTTCAAATGAGTGTGATGTATTGCCAGCCGCGTAACCAATGTTAGTTGAACAATACCGACAAACAGCTTTGGTTCGGTCCAGCTGTCTTTGTCCGTCATCCTTGTACGTAAGTGCGAAACCAAAATGTTCCCAAACCGGAGACTTCAATGATGCTGGAGGATTTTCAGCTCAACTTTATCTGCGTTACTGACTACATTTGAACGCATCCCTGTGACCAGCTCTCATAGTATGCCTCTCGTCCAATGAAATGACTTGGTCGCTCTATGATATATACCTGAGATTACTTCCAGAAAGTTGTTCATGTTCTCAATTTGTTTACGTTTAACGCTATATTCGAACGCCTCGTTGGACATTTTTCTTTTTCCATTTTTTTCTTCCTGGGTATGGTGACGTGCCCATACCCAAATGGACCAATCCGTGGAGCTCCACACACACACACACACACACACACACACACACACACACACACACACACACACACACACACACACACACACACACACACACACACACACACACACACACACACACACACACACACACACACACCACACACACACACACACACACACACACACACACACACACACACAGGCGGCAAAACTGTGACGCGCTGGGGGGGGGTGCTAGTGGAGCCTCGCAGCGGAGAAACTGGCGTGCTTACGATGTAGGTGCGCCACGTTTGGGGGTGCGGGTGCTAGTGGAGTCTCGCAGATGGGGGTGCTGCAGCCCCCTCATCACCCCCCCCCCCCCCTTCCCGCGTCCATTCGCGATGTCTCGCTGTCTCGCAGACCCCACGCAGCAAGCAGGAAATGAACCCAGCTCACATTGTTCGCTGCTCGTAGCAGCGAGCCGTGAAACGTCCCGCCAACACGGCACCCAGACCCCACGCAGCATTCTCATCCGTTTGTCCTTACTGGTGTCATTTTCTGGTTGGATATCTTGTTTATGCAGATCCGATAAGTAATAAAGTAGTTATACCGTGAGTTCTGTGCTAAGTGCGTTAGCATTTTTTCACTCAGGGCTAATTCAGAGGCTTGATATTACCCTTGTGTTTCGTTTAGCTAAAAATTGTTAATATTGTCTGATAGCTGAGTTTCTTCCCGTTAAGTGGGTATGACACATTCATTCATTGAGCCCCATGCCCCCGGTACCGGGGGCATGGGGCTCAACTGGTTAAAGAAATCTAGACCGCAAAAGAATTAAACAAGCGAGTGCCTGTTTTTTCCTGGCCAAGATCAGGGTCCTTGAACACAACACGAGCCTATCATTTCATCACGTGGTATATGTCTCGTCTGACAGGGGTGTAGTGCTGACGGAGCACTTTACAATTAATAAACAAGAATAGAGTTTAAAAGGGGAGGGATTTGTAAAATATCCATAAAGAAAAAGTAAATCTGCTTACAGTTCTGTTTCATATGGATGTTGAGATCTCTTCATGTTGCTCTCAAAATGCACCAGATTGATGCTTTTAAATTCAACATTTAAAAAAAAAATCTTCCCGGGGGAGCATCTTCCCGGACCCCCCTAGAGGAGGTTAGGTTCACCCCCCACTTAAATCATGTTCACATGGATAGGATTCTAAATGTGCACATATCATATATTATCATATAAGCGTCTTTGGGTTCAAGAAACCGTGCACGTGCATGCATGCGCGAGTCATGGCCAGATATCTGGATTAAGAGGTTGCTTTTTCTTTGCACAGCATGAAAGAAAGGCCAAATGAATGGGCTGTGATTTTAGTTTCTTTAAGCAGAGGTCAATAATTTGTACGGCCCTCGGAGGGTGTTGTAAAAGCTTGCACAGTATTTGGGTGGTCTATAAATATTTAGGAACAGAGCTCGAGAGGAGCATTTCAACAGAAGAGCCACATATTCAAAAGAGGCAAAGTTCCCATAAAATGTCTTCCTGCATTGAAGTAGGAATTATTAAAGAGTGCTTACCTGTTGTAGTTCAGCTGTTGTGGAGAACCGTGCAGTGACCCCAGTGATCATGGAGGCGAAGGAGAAGGAGCCCACGCCATATCTGAAAATATATAGAGAGTGAGCTTATCATGGTGTATACAAAGTTGGTAGGGAAAAATATGGAACAACATATTTTTTAATTGTGAAGAGTACTAATCTCAGGCACGTTTACATATACAAGGGATTTCTATCTAAGAAATAAGTTGCAAAGTAGGTAAAAAAGCTAAATGTATAAAGCTATATAAAAAATAAGTATTTTCAAGAAACAATTTAGCATTAAAAAATAGTACTAAAGACAAGTTTTTACACCACATTTAAATATACAAAGAACTGTAAAAGCTACAAAAAACAAAAAACACTTAGGATAATGAAAATATGACAATATATGGCAAACTACAGTGAATTATATTTTAAAGTGGAGGGCTGTTCAGCCATGTGTGCAAAAATAGCAGCACTGTCCAAGTCTGTTCACGGTTTCTGATCCAATAACAAGTCCTTAAACACAGAGCCCATACCGTGTTTTTGTTGGTGTTTACTTCCTGTCTGTAGCCCATACCGTGTTCCTGTTAGTGTTTACTTCGGCTGCAATAGAATAGTCCAAATCAGCTACTATCGTCTATTCCTATCGTCTATTCCTTAACCTCTGTGTGAAACGTCACAGGGTTAAGCCCCCATAACTGTGTCTCAGGGCTTCTTAACATTTAATAAACTATGAATGTGTCATACTCACTTAACGGGAATAAACTCAGCTAACTGATGATACGAACGATTTTTACCGAAACAAAACACAAGTCACACAAGAAGCGTCTAAATTAGCCCAGAGCAAAAAAATGCTACTGCACGGAACTCTACACTGTAACTACAGTGTTTCCCCCAAAAAATTAACAGTTTTGTATTGTATTTCATAATTACAGGATATCATATTAAAATTACAAGAATAAACGGTTTATTGATATGTGTGATGTATTTTAACAAAAGAAAACTGTAGAAATGGAATACATTATATCATCTGTTTTTTAGCAGTTTTTAAATGTGAATTTAACAAAACTAACCGTAAAAATAAATGATTATCCGTTGGCAAAATTAGCTGCATATTCTGTAATTTTACAAAAAAATACTTTTGTTATGGCTATATATCACTATCAAATACATAACAAATACTGTTAATACTCATTTAAAAAATGTATAATTGCAAGAAAAAGAAAGAAATATTTTTGCTTAATTTAACCACTATTTTACATTGATAAACTGAAAAAACACAGGTATTGACTATCCTTTTATAGTAAAACAAATTACATTTTAACACATTTTGACTTGTATTACTTTGAGGTTTGAATTGTTAAATATGTGAATTTCAGGTTATAAAAACTGTGTAAAACCATAGAGTTACATACAAAAAAGAAAGTTGACTGTTATTAACATGTTGGGTGCGAATTCTTACCAGAGCACAATACAGATATGAAATTATGCTATAACCCACCAGTAACAGCCATAGACTGTGGGTTATATCGGAAACATTTGTCTATGCCATGATACATCTAAAAACTAGCTCATATCTGTCAGCATTCACTGCAGGCAAACCTAATGTGACCATTCACTTGTGATTTCTAAGTAGAAGAAGAAGAAGAAGAAGAAGATATACTTTATTAATCCCTCAGAGGGAAATGTCTTCCCCCACTCTGTTGTGTTTATACACATTACACACACAGGGAGGATTTTTAAATTTTTTATTTAACCTTTATTTATACAGGTGTAAAATCTCATTGAGATATACAAGCACTAACAGACAGAGTTCGGTGCGTTCACAACCCAAAAAAGCTGTGTAAATTTCTGACATCATTTAGCTTTTCCCAGATGATCAGATATGTGATCTGTCGCGATTGTTACAACTGCACCGTGTTTGTTAGGAAAGTAGCTTTTAGAAATGTATCAATGGACTAAAATGTGTGACTTTAACTCAATATTTAAAATACAGAGTGATTGGCGCACAGTATGCAAAAAACATATTGAGTTTCACTGTAGCTCAATATGTCATCTTCCCCTCGGCCTTATCACACTAGCATGTACAATTTAGCCCATAACATAACAGCCAGACTCTGAATATCAAAACCTTGTTAGCCGTTAGTGCTACCACTATGCTAAATTGGTATTAGCTTTGCAATTACAGTAAAACAAACAACCTATGTTGTCCTTTTAGACGTCTAATAATATCCAACTATTCAAATCCATCATATTGAAAGAATAGGCCTTCACCAAAGCATGTTGACAAAGCAAGAAACTACAGCAAAATACCTGTAAAATCCAAGTCAATTAACTTAAATATGTATTGTGATAATGTCCCACACAGCTAGTTGGTTACAACAATCTACAATGATGTCACAGGGATTTCAGGCAGCAGGTAGTTGAAGGTTGAAGGTTAATCCATTTGCTATGGCTACAACTGCCTCGTGGAACAACAACGTTTTATTTTCTGTTTGTTTAATATAGGAATGCATCTTTGTCTATCACACTTTGCTTCTGTAGATCTCCCATCTGACTTTATTGTGAGTTTATGTTTTCAAAAAGTAAATTGAGCATGTTTTATGAGACTGAACAGTCTCATAAAACCCAGGTAGGTGCAGAATAGGTTTCTCAAAAATAAAGCAATCAGGATTAATATACAGTGGGGCAAAAAAGTATTTAGTCAATTACAGAGAGAGGCCTGTAATTTTCATCCTAGGTATACCTCAACTATGAGAGACTAAATGAGAAAAAAAATAATCCAGAAAATCACATTGTCTGATTTTTAAAGAATTTATTTGCAAATTATGGTGGAAAATAAGTATTTGATCAATAACAAAAGTTAATCTCAATACTTTGTTATATACCCTTTGTTGGCAATGACAGAGGTCAAACGTTTTCTGTAAGTCTTCACAAGGTTTTCACACACTGTTGCTGGTATTTTTGGCCCATTCCTCCATGCAGATCTCCTCTAGAGCAGTGATGTCTTGGGGCTGTCGCTGGGCAACACAGACTTTCAACTCCCTCCAAAGATTTTCGGTGTGTTTGGGATCATTGTCATGCTGAAAGACCCAGCCACGTTATATCTCTCACAGGCTCCGCCCTCTACTGGACTCTATGGGTACTACCTTACCCTGCGAGCATTCTCCCACTGAGACTTCTATAGACGTAGCCGGCCTTGGGCGGGCCTACCTGAATGCGCGCGCATCACACCGTATAAAAGGAGGCCTCACCTCCTGACTATCATCCTTTTCTCTTCAGCAGCGGAGGTGATTCCACGAAAGACTGAGAGACGTTTAAAAAGAGTTATCATACCTCCAGGGAGTCGCCACTGCTAGATTCGAGTGTTTGGGGGACCAGGATATGGCCGAGGCGGTGCCATTCACGTTCGCCATTCCTTCCGGGTCTGGCATCCATGGAAGTCCACCGCCCAGGGCTGTACTCTCCCTGGATGATGATCATGGCGGCGGGTGTGTGGGCTACTCACTCATTGCTAGAGATGCCTCCGCCTCACCAGGTCAGAGCGATTATTGGGCCGCAAGGCCGAATAAGTAGCTTGGTCCACGGGCCTTGCCCCAGGCCCGGTTCCCCCGGGGACCGGTGCTCGGTGGCTTCACATGATATAGGGTCGACCCTACTTCATCACAGGCCACCGCCGCTGCCCGCCGTGTGATGTCCCTGGGATATCACGCCACGTGGCACTTTCCAAAGAGGATCGTGTTGATCTCCTGGGAGCCCCCGTGTTTACGGAGGGCTCTTTGGCTCGATCTCCTTGCTCACGGGATGAGGAGTAGTCGCAGCGTGGCTGCTTCTTGCCCATTCCCAGAGGAAGAAACACTGTCCTACACTCCCCGCCCCCGCTGTAAACCCCAGTATAGGGAGCCAGTAGGTGGGCGTGTGCATGTGAGTGGAATAAACCAAGTGCTGTCAAAGCACTGTGCGGGTTCAAGAGACGCTATTGCCGGCGTGCTGTTGTCAGAAAACACACCTTGTCTGGTATAATAGCTCCGATTAATGCATTTCACCGTTGCAATGGGAAATACAGCATTAATACGTGGGCGCGCGGCCCTCGTGAGAGTGGCCGCGGTGCGTTTAGGGACCCCCGCAGGAGAACGGTGGTTTACGTTTGTAAACTCTAGTTCTGAAGTGAGGTATGTGTGTGGGAAAAATGCATTCAGTAAAGACTATTGCATTTATCCCAGAGTAAGAGTAATTTCTCTCCACAATTCCACTTTTCCCCATAATGTCCGTTTCAAAGAGACGGCATTGTGACGGCGCGCGCGGCCCCCCTCCCCCGAGGGCGGGCCACGGTGCGTTCAAAGACCTCAGTAGAGAGGTGAGACGAAGGGAGAGGTGCCGACACGGAGATCCCGTGCCCGCGGCGCCCTCCACCTCTTCGGCCCACCCCGTGGAACCGGCGTGCCGGCACTCACAGGGACGGGCTTTCCGTCTTTACGGATCGGACTGGCGGGGGGAGAAAATCTCTCCGCCCGGGACGAGGGGGAGAATCCCGCCTCCTCCCTGTATAAGGCACAGATCACTACGTTTTCTAATAAAAATGAGGTTGATCTGTATCCAAGTCTAAGTATCTTTTGTTTCCACAAGGGCCACACTTACACACAATGTTAACCGTACAAATTCCCCATTCGCTGCCCCATGCTGCAGCTCCTGTAAAGGAGGTGGCTAGTGAACATGCGCAGATGAGAGGGATGATACCGGGACATTATGGCCGGCGTATTGCTGTCAGAGAACACACTACGCCTAGAGCAAAGACTCCAATGCAGTTTTCCGTAGTGGTAAAGGCTGCATTATGGCGGAGCCCGCACTCACACAAGAGCGCGTGGCGGTGCGTTCAGGGACCTTAGTAAAACACACTACGCCTATAAAGACTCCGATGAATGCTGTTTACCGTAGTGGTGAGAACAGCATTAGGGTGGAGCGTTCAGGGTCCTCAGTAAATAATCGGCCCTTTCTGTGTCAACCTTCCATGGGCAAATCTTCCCTTCGCGGGGAGTTTTTGCGGCGGAACGGGTCACCAGAGAGTATCACAGCTTCATAGCTGCTGCCCCACACCTGAGGGCTTGTCCATTAACACAATGTTCTGGGGAATGGAAACTCAGCTGTGTGCTTACAAGGTGGAGGGACAGGACGCTGAAACGGGGCCATTCACTCCAGTTTTGCAGCGTCCCACTGTACCACATGTCTATACACTGTACCAATGTATCACATGGACCACTGTCTTGTGGGTGTCCCACACCCACCTTTTTTATGGGCATGCAAGAGGTAAATCTGTCCTCCCAGGAGGAGATGTGTTTCCTCTCAGCAGAGATTCAGGCTCTGGTGCAGAAACAGGCTGTGTCTGTTGTGCACCCTCAGCACAGAGAAAATGATCTTTATTCCATGTACTTCCTGGTTCTCAGGAAGACAGGGGAATTTAGACCTATTCTAGATCTCAGCGGCCTGAATCGCCACATTTCCTGCAGGAAATTCCGCAGGTTAACTATGAAATAGTTACTGGGGCTTGTGCAGCCAGGCGATTGGTTCACCACCATCGACCTGAAAGACGCGTACTTTCATGTAGAAATTGCTCCAGAGCACAGAAAGTATCTGCGTTTTGCCTTCCAGGGAATAGCCTACGAGTACAACAGGCTGCCGTTCGGCTATTCCCTATCCCCACGCACATTCAGCAAATGTGTGGCCACAGCGCTTCAACCGCTGCGCGCACACGGCATGAGAGTTTTATTTTACATAGACGACCTCATAGTCATGGCTGGGTCACGGGAACAGGCAATGTTTTGCACAGCACAATTGATCACACACCTGACCAAATTGGACTTTGCGATCAATTGGAAAAAGAGCACCCCCATACCTCACCAACGGGCGCTGTATTTGGGTGTGGTGCTCGATGCAGGCGCGTCGCGCGCCACCCTGTCAGAGAGCAGACGTGCGTCCCTTCTTCAGGGGGTGCGCAGGCTGCGACAGGGGGCAACAGTGACAGCTTTTACTGTCATGCAGACATTGGGTCTCATGGCGGCTGCTCACATGGTGGTCCCGTTAGGGTTACTACATATGCGCCGCCTGCAGAGGTGGTTCTCCAGCCTGCGCTTGGATCCCAAGAGGCACAGGCGGCGGCTGGTGACCATCCCCCCCTCAGTGGAGGGCAACCTCCGGTTTTGGGGGTCTCCGGATCACCTCCGGAGGGGGTCTCCACTGGGACGGGTGACCTCCTACATCACAGTGTTCACGGATGCATCCAGAACAGGATGGGGAGGGACTAACCACCTCAACTGGCTCCTTTTGACGCGAAGGAGGAGCGTTTCATCTACGAGTCCCTCCCGGATGACTGAACTTCTCACCTTATCCCTAAGGGAGACACCAGCAACCCTGCGGAGAAAACCCATCTGGGCCGCTTGTTTCCGCAATCTCGTTCTTTCGGTCATAGGTGAGGGTAGGAACGAAAATGGCCCGGAAGACAGAGAGCTTTGCCTTCTAGCTCAGCTCCCTTTTCGTCACAACGGTGCGGTAAAGCGACTGCATGTCGTTCCCGCTGCTCCGATTCTCCGGCCCATCTCACGCTCCATTGTTCCCTCACTCGAGAACAAGACCCCGAGATACTTGAACTCCTTCACTTGGGGTAAGGACTCATTCCCTACTTGGAGTGGACAGTCCATCGGTTTACTGCTGAGAACCATGGCCTCAGATGCTGATCCTCATCCCAGCCGCTTCACACTCGGTTGCGAACCGATGTGCTGAAGGTCGCAGACCGATGAAGCCATTAGAACCACATCATCTGCAAAAAGCAGTGGTACAATCCTTAGTCCACCGAACTGCAGACCCCCTCCCCCACGACTACGCCTCGAAATCAGATCCATGTATATTACAAACAGGATTGGTGACAAAGCGCAGCCCTGGCGGAGGCCAACCCTCACCGGAAATGGGTCCGACTTACTGCCGAGGACCAGGACACAGCTCTCGCTTTGGGAGTACAGAGATTGGATTGCCCTGAGTAGAGACCCCCTCACCCCATACTCCCGCAGCACCTCCCACAGTAACTCCCTGGGAACTCGGTCATACGCCTTCTCCAAGTCTACAAAACACATGTAGACCGGATAAGAGTACTCCCAGGCCCCCTCCAGGATCCTTGCGAGAGTAAAAAGCTGATCTGTCGTTCCACGACCAGGACGGAATCCGCATTGTTCCTCCTCAATCTGAGGTTCGACAATCGGCCTGACCCTCCTTTCGAGTACCTTAGAGTAAACTTTCCCGGGGAGGCTGAATAGTGTGATGCCTCTGTAATTGGCACACACCCTCTGATCCCCCTTTTTAAAAAGGGGGACCACCACCCCGGTCTGCCACTCCTTCGGTACTGTTTCCGACTTCCACGCAACGTTGATGAGACGTGTCAACCATGACAGTCCCTCAACACCCAGAGCCTTCAGCATTTCTGGGCAGATCTCATCCACCTCCGGGGCTTTGCCACTGTGGACTTGTTTGACGACCTCAGTGACGATCCCCCGTCATACTCCAGCTCTGCCTCTAACATAGAGGGCGGAGTTGTCGGGTTCAGGAGTTCCTCAAAGTGTTCCTTCCAACGCCCTAACACTCCATCAGTTGAGGTCAACAACGTCCCATCCTTACTGTACACAGCTTGGATGGTCCCCTGCTTCCCCCTCCTGAGGTGTCGGACAGTTTTCAAGAACAACTTTGGTGCCGCCCGAAAGTCCTTTTCCATGTCTTCTCCGAACTTCTCCCATACCTGCTGCTTTGCCTCGGCCACAGCTGAGGCTGCTGCCCTTCGGGCCTGTCATTACCTTGCAACTGCCTCGGGAGTCTCCCGGGATAACAAATCCCTGAAGGCCTCCTTCTTCAGTCGGACGGCTTCCCTGACCACCGGTGTCCACCAGGAGGTTCGAGGGTTACCGCCCCTTGAGGCACCTAAGACCTTGAGACCACAGCTCCCCACCGCGGCTTCGGCAATAGAGGCTTTGAACGCCGACCACTCTGGTTTAATGTCCCCAACCTCCACAGGAATGCCCGAAAAGCTCCGCCGGAGGTGTGAGTTGAAGGCCTCCTGAACTTGGGCCTCCTCCAGGCATTCCCAGTTCACCCGAACTACACGTTTGGACTTACCAGGGCTATCCAGAGGCTTCCCACGCCACTCGACCCAACTCATCACCAGATGGTGATCAGTTGACAACTCCGCCCCTCTCTTTACCCGAGTGTCCAAAACATACAGCCTCAGGTCCGATGATACGATAACGAAATAGATCATGGACCTTCTGCCTAGGGTGCTCTGGTACCACGTACACTTATGAGCATCCTTATGTTCGAACATGGTGTTTGTTATGGCCATTCCATGACGAGCACAGAAGTCCAGTAACAAATCACCACTCCGGTTCAGATCAGTGGGGCCGTTCCTCCCAATCATGCCCCTCCAAGTGTCTCCATCATTGCCCACATGTGCGTTGAAGTCTCCCAGCAAGATTAAAGAGTCCCCTCCAGGAGCCCCATACAGGACTCTTTCCAGGGTCTCCAAGAAGGCTGTATACTCTGAACTGCTGTTTGGTGCATAAGCACATACAACAGTCAGAGTTTTCCCCCCCATAACCCGCAGGCGTAGGGAGGCGACCCTCTCGTTCACTGGGGTAAACTCCAACAACGAAGCACCCAACCGGGGACTTGTGAGTATCCCCACACCCGCCCGGCGCCTCACACCTTGAGCAACTCCGGAGAAGAATAGAGTCCAACCCCTATCCAGAAGTAAGGTTCCAGAGCCGACGCTGTGCGTAGAGCTGAGCCCAACCAGATCCAACTGGTAATGCTCCACCTCCCGCACAAGCTCCGGCTCCTTCCCCCCCAGAGAGGTGACGTTCCATGTCCCCAAAGCCAGCTTCTGTCGCCCGGGTCTGGTCCGTCGAGACCCTCTGCTTTCACTGCCACCCTTCTGGCAGCACACCCGACCCCATCGCTGTTTCCCGTAGGTGGTGGGCCCGCGGGACTGAGAAGCGGAGGTGTTGCCCACGTTGCCTTTTCGGGCTGTGCCCGGCTGGGCTCCGTGGCAAGCCCGGCCACCAGACGCTCGCCAACGAGTCCTCCTTCTGGGCCTGGCTCCAGAAGGGGACCCCGGGCTTCCTCCGGGCCGGTTATCCTCACTTCCTGTTTTTTCTTTCATGAGGTCTTTTGAACCAATCTTAGTCTGGCCCCTTGCCTGAGACCAATTTGCCATGGGAGACCCTACCAGGAACACAATGTTCCAGACAACACAGCCCCCAGGTTCATCAGGGCACACAAACCTCTCTACCACGGTAAGGTGCTGGTTCTTCAGAGAGGCTATTGTTTAAAGTGTTCAATACAATACAATCAAAATAAACTACTTTTGAATTCATCATTGAATTTTGTAAATAACAAAGTAACTTTGTCAAGTTTACCTGGGAATATAGTCAATGTTTCTAAAATCACAAAACTGACAAAAGGAGTAATTTCCCCGTATATAATGTCAAACTCACTTACACTCAAAGCTACATTGTTACCCGCCTGAAGACTCCATGGACAGTTTGGTCGGTTTAGTATGTTATCTCTCTGTTCTTTGTCACATACAGATGAACGTATGAGTGTGGTACTCACTGTGTGAACATGTATTCCCAATGTTCCCTGACAAAGTCCCATGCCAGAACCTGTCCCACACTGTTGCTGGCCACGGATGTGATGACCGAGGTAGCATCCTGCTTACGGATCATAGTTGAGTTCAAGGTATAAGACAAATACCTAAAAAACAAAATAGTTGCATTTTAAACAAATATCTTTCGACTAGCACATTCTCATCTAATCAAAAGCATTAAAAGGTTGAAAGACTGGCTGTCTGGTTATTCTCTTTAAAACATGTCATAGCAAAATCATGTAGGCTATAGTCAATAAAAGGTATTTTAAGAACAACAATGGTATATTAGATCATCTTCAATATGGCGTTCCTTTCTTTCATTTTTTGCACTAAAAAAAGTAAGCAGTAGTATGCTGCTCTCTGCTCGCTCTCATTACTAATATTGTTTTGAGTTTGAGCTTTCACAGTCACACCACAAAGTGACATTCACTCATACATGTGAATAGGTGGGGGCCAGAAGCTTGGTGGTGAAGTGACTACCCGCAAAGCTTGCAATGGTAAACTGTTGAAGCAGGCACCTAAACTCCCAAAGCTTTTCTCTGTTTTCTCCCCATTGTTTCTCTGGGGTCCCCTATTATGCAAAATTCACGTTTTCAAATCTTCTTTACATAAATATATGTCCCCAGCGTGTTAAGAGATTCAGATAGTGGAATGAGCTCCCCATTGACATCAGGACAGCAGAAAGCTTACACACCTTCCGGCGCAGACTGAAAACTCATCTCTTTCGACTCCACTTCGAGTGATAGAACTATTAACAAAGCACTTATATACTAATAAAGGACTGGCTTACCTAAAGCCAGTTGAGTAGCACTTGAAATGTTATAGCTCTATGAAACCTGATGTACTTATATGATTCTGTTTTCTTCAAGCTTGTATTTTGTTGGTCGAATGCACTTATTGTAAGTCGCTTTGGATAAAAGCGTCAGCTAAATGCAATGTAATGTAATGTAAAGATAGAGTCAGGAAAAAACATGTTCTCTCTGTTTTTCTCCTGATCCACCTATTTAAAAACCTGTATGAAAATGAGCTGATCATTTTTTTGGCTTATGTAACCATTAGCCAATAACCAACCAAGGTATCCCCCGCCCACCTTATCACCTGAATCTCCTCCTAGGGCACCATTATGTTTTGTAACCAATCACTTTGCAGAGGGGCGTGGCCAGCAGCAGCTCATTAGCATTTAAAGCTACAGACAGAGAATCAGCACTTTTTAAACAGGGCTGAAACAGAGGGGATTATGGGATGCTACAATTATCTCTTTGGTGTTTCAGAGACATGTTTGTATATATCTGAGACCTATACTATATTGTTGAAAACAAGTATAATAGGGGACCTTTGAAAAAAGTTACTGAAGAGGGGAAGTAAAGTCCTCGATTAACACATATCCTTTCTCTTAAATCAATGTTATTATTCTTTTGTCAGGAAGTGCTTGTATCCAAACACTTGCCCATTAATCTCTTCTCACCTGCCTGCAACTGGCACCGCAACACGAGGGGTCTTCAAATGTGTGAGACCCTCAGTTGTACTTCCCTCTGTTTAATATGTATGCACTGATCGAAATGGGGGGGAGCCAGGGAGAGCTTGGCTCCCCTAAAGAGGGGGGGAGCTACCCTGAAGGCCGACTTTGAGATAAATAGGGGGAGCCCAACATTTTATGGCATATTTGTGTCACACAGATTAGAAATGTTGAGTTTCTATAAATAAAAGTTCTTGAAATAAATAATAGTCATTATTCATTACAGTTTCTGAATATTTGTTTTATATTTGTGAATATTTCTGGGTGTTGCCATCTGTACGTGCATTATTTACGCTACTTACGTTGCTATGGTTACGGCGGTGATGCCGGTGCGGTATTTGAAATGTTCATATTGATATTTGTTTAACTCTGGCTTTGTAATACAAAATATGGTGAAACGAAAACAGCCAAGCCTCGCAGCTTTTGGATTCACAAGCAAAGAAGCGAAGGAGTCTAATAATGACAACGTGAACGGAACAACTTTTAGTTGGCCGGCTGTAAGCGGCGTTAGGGTCGAGTTTGACAGCTCCACGCGAGGGCCCTGAAAAAAAAAATAGGGCTCCCCCGAAAGCAAATGGGTAATTCGAACACTGTATGTATGTATATAAATTGTTTGCTGTTGTTGTGGTAAAGGGGAGACAACATGTCCTTTGCTTTAATCTTTTTATTTTCCCTATTTTGTTTATACATTTTACTAAAAGAAGCTAAGAGAGATCGTGGAACTTAACTATAAATCACTTCGTTACTCTCTTCATCTGTGGAAAAGTTGGATGGATACACACCTTTTCAGCAGGCTAACATCGCTGGTGCAGGCCAGAGCAGACATGAGTTTGCTGGCCTCGCTGGCTACAGAAGCATTCCTGAACTGAGACCAGCCAAACTCCCACTCTGCCTCCTCTCCTGCCTCCATGGCACTGCAGTACACCACTGAGCGCAGGTTGGGATGGATCCTGATAAGACAGTTTGTGTTACTTAAATTATTAACTTAAAACAGTTATCAAATGATATATAATATAGACCAACAAATTGTGTTGAGGGGCTTCCATCCATTGTTTGAACCATGCGGTTGTCAGGGTCTGGCACTCTGTCACTCCCGTCTTACAGGCCGTGCGGATGGCATTCACCTGGTTATACCTACAGGTAGGGACAAACATGGTTAAGCTGTCACATTTATGGACAATATTGTATATACTTAAATGTGTATATTTCTTTATTTTATCCAGGTTTTATGCTCACTGGTCAGTGTGTCCATCAGGAACACAGCTCAAGTCTGATGTCATGTTTTTGAAGTATAGGAAGAGTGGA